CTAGGAGATCTGCTCGTCTCAGCACTTCCAAATTCCCCAGAGCTGCTGCTTCCCCTCCTTTTCCACCTTCTCAGGGGATCAGCTGCTAAGCACCCTGAAATGCTGGGGTTTGCTGGTTTCTGCCAGAGTACAAGGAAATGCTTCTGAAGGGCTAAACAACAGATGGGATTTTTTTTTTGGCAGCTAAAAGGCAGTTAAGTAACCCACTAGAATTTGATAATGTCACTAGAATACATTAAGAATATCATCTCGGTAGCAACCCAAAGATAGGGATGTTTGCTTTCATGACACACTCTGTGAATGATTACTTATGACACCACTCCCGGCAAATCTGTTTGTTTGCAACACCAGCCAGCCCAGAGCCACGGGCACACTGAGCCACACGGTGGCCACCAGCAGCACTGGGAAGTGGAAGCACAGAGAAACCAGTTTGCAGAGCCCGGGCAGGGGACCCAGGTGTCCTGATACCTGCACATTGACCTGACCTGCCTTGCACTGGCAGAAGGAAGAGATGTGTAATTAAAACTCTACAGTTCGAGACCTGATGCTACTCCCATCTCTGCCACTGATCCGCCACATGAGCATGGGCAAGTCACTTTGGTAGCTGGTTTCTGCTTCCTCACCACCATACCAGGAATGACCAGTGTCCCTCCATTTTGAGGGTTCAGGGCTGCAGCAGCACCCACTCTGTGCAGGAGAGCCCAGGACGGTGGCAGGGCCAAACTTCAAGTGGCATCTCAGAGCCTGCACTGCTGATCACACTCGGCTTATCACTGGGCAGGCGACTGCTGACGGGGACGTCTGCAGGGACAGCCCCTGCCAGGGACAGCAGGATAAGAGAACACAAAGGAGGAAATGAAGCTGTGGACGTGCAAGCAGCTCCCTGCTCTACCTGAGAGACCTCCCAAGGAAGCACCGGGAGGGACTCTTACAAAGAGAATTAACTTAGTCTTTCCCACACAGAGGCAGCAGCGAGGCTCCAGAGCCCTGCCAGGGAAAGGGAATGAGCAAGCGCTGGACTGGCAGGTGTTGAAAAGCCCAAGCCCAGCCAAGCTCTGGGGAGTTGTGTACACAAGCTCTGGACTCCACCAGCATTGGTGGCAGGACCTTGGTGGAGCAACACCAGCAATTACAGCTAGGCTGGCATTAATCTGCTCATCTTGGAAGGGAGTGCCAGCTTCCAAAATTGCTGTTTCCCAGAATATGAACTCTGTTACGCGAATGTAGCCAGCAATGGGAATCCAACCCCCTTTCTCCAAGCCATTGGACTCTATAAGTGCCAAGTGTCTGATGTGATCAGGAGAGCAAGGATACTCAGAGGCATGCCACAATCCCCCACCCTGGTGCAGGTGCAGCAAAGCAAAGCTACTTTAGGGAGGAAGATGTCTCACCTTCAGTTCTAGAAGAGGACGTGGAGTCCATCTGGGCTGGCAAATCAGAAAACTCCACTGGACATCCACGATCCTTTCCAGCTTGCAGCAAAAACTCTGGGCCATCCCCAAGAGGCTGGTGGGGGGAGTGAGCAGGGGGACTTTGGGTACAGGAGCTGCCCCAGGACGTGGCCAGGTACCATAGCTCCTGCTGAGGATTGGCCCTCGCCTGGCCCAGGTGCTGTAACGTCGTGCGAGAGGCTTTGTGGTGGGGAGGCTGTCAAACACACGGAATCCTTCTTTTATGGCAAACTCCCAAGCCAGGTCGGCCACAAACTCTGCATCCTCTGGGCTGCATTCACCTGGGGCTGGCCTCCCTGAGGACAAGAGAAGAAGAGGACATCTTTGTTTGAAAAAGCCCACGTTACATAGTCACATCCCAAACAACACCATGTGCCCTTGTCTGGGCCAACCCAGCAGGACTCGAGAAGGAATATGAACTCTAAGGAATATGAAAATAACATCTTGTTTTTCTCTGATAAAGACTCCCAGGCCAGACCTGATGTATGCAGATAAACAGCACTGAGAGTTCACACTCCCTCCCTGCGAGTCTCTCTTTGAAGGTGGTGCTTAGTTTGAAGGTCTGAGAGCTCCACCTGTAGGACATGGCTCTGAGCTCTGAACTGTGGCCTCTGCTCAGTTCTCCCGTGAAAGAAAAGTGATCACAGAGTGACCTCCGGCCAGCACAAAGAGCAAACAGGAACAGACCAGACCTTGCATCCAGCAAAAAGCAGCCGCTGGGGAAATGCCCTGTGTGTGCTCCCCTTTGGCCCTTTTTTCTGTTTGCAGGACACAACCTGACTACACAACACAGCCTGCCTGAGAGGTTGTAGCAGCCTCATACCCTCTGCTGAAGCAGAGAGGGAGCTCTGTGCTTTACAGGACACTCCATTCGCATCCTTCTTGTCTACATGCAGCAATAACTCGCTGCACGATTACTCCCAGGTCACTCATCTCCAGAGTGAAACAAGATCTCTCATTTTGATCCCTTATTTCCCACAGGAGCTCTATGCTGAAAGCACAAGACTGCCAGACATGCCACGCTTTGCTGTAGCACCTGGAATTTCAGAGCTCTCAGGATTCACAGCCAGAAGTGCACGAACCCTGCAGCACGTGCTGCCGGTCTGACCTCCCCCGGTTCAGTGTGAGAGCTCTCCCCACACCGGTGCTCATGTGTCTGTGCTCTGGCTGGAGACCTGTGCAGAACAGGGCCAGCGTGGCTGGGTTCCTCACCTGCCAGAGAGCATTTGTAGTGTCCCTGCAGCATTGCAGCCAGTCGGAAAAAGGCAAAGGCCATGTAGAAATTCCAGTTCTCGGGGTGCTCCACTCCCATGTGGTCACAGTACATCTGGGAATACTCCTCTGCCGTGGGGACTCCCAGGTGCCCCAAATCACACTTCCTCAAGCCTGGAAGACATGAAGAGGCAACAGTGAAGCAGCAGACAGTGAGGAGCTCAGAGTTTTCTAGGGATGCCATGAGGCTTGTGGCAGAGCCATGCAGCTGTGGAGCAGCGGAGACACCTGCACCCATCCAACACCTGCACTGCTGCCATGCTGTTTCCGTATGTAACAACGGGGGTCTGGCACCAACCCACGTAGGTGAAATGCATACGGGGCAGTTTTCTTCATTGGGGTGAGATTGTGGAAGCAGTGACTGATGGATCTTCCTCCTAAACAATGATTTTCCTCCCTGGTTACCCCTATACTGTTCTTTTTAACAAGTGTATAACTTTGTGGACAAACCCCTTCTGGACTGGCCTGGTTCACAGCTTTCCCACCCAAAAGAGTTCCCCAGCTTTACAGCTGAAGTGAGAGGGAAAATAATCCAAACTAATTTTTAAACACAGTTTTGCAAGCTGTGAAACAGGGTCCTCCCCTCTGGGGCCATCCCTGACATGACTGCTAACAAAGGTCCATGTGCATGAACAGAGTGACAGTACTGACCAGGATAGAGAGCGCATGGCAGAGTATCTGCCAAACGGGTGGCAGATACGAGACAAACTGGGGATAGGGTGACCATGGCACAGTGATTACTGCACATGCGTAAAGACGTGTCTGCCCTGGAGGCACGCAGGGTTCTTCAGGGAGGGGAGAAAGGGCAGAGCAGCGAATATGGTACGAGACCCACAGCCCTTTCCAACTGCAATGAGCCCAACTGTCAGCTGAGCTCTCTGGGCAGGAGCTAATCTGTTTCTGAACTCTAGTTCCTCTCTCCGTGTGTCAAATGTGACTTTGCCCCTCTCTGTACCTCTCAATGCATTAAAGTGAGGTGGCAGGAAGTAGGCCATACAGTTATTCGCCAAATCAGAGATGGGATCTCCTAGAGTTGAAAGCTTCCAGCCAAGGACAGCAAGGACTTCTGGCCTGTCTGGATGAAAGACCAGGTTGTCCATCCTGTATCAGAGGGAAAAAGAGATCAGAAAAGTCTCAACAGGGGGAAAATATCCCAGTGCTCAGCAGCAGTAGGTGCTTTTCAGTGCTCTTCACTCTCTACAAAAATTGCTGAATCCTTTGGGAGGCTGCACAAGTGAAAGATTAATTTCTGCAAGCATAAATCGGGGGGGATGGAGATTACTCAGTAGTGAACTCCCTGGTTAACGATGAACTGAACATTTGAAGAATGAAACCAAGTTATTCGGGGCCTCAGATCATTAACAGATGTTACAGGACAGGCTGGCCAAAAAGTGAAGCGGGGAAGTCACTGTCCAGGGGGATCTTCTGGACATTTCAAAGGCACCTGCATTGTCACGTGCTGTAGATTATGCGTAGTACAGCCTTCAACAGTTTGAGCCCCAGGAGAGGGTAGCAGCCTACTGAGGAGGAAACAGAGAGGGCAGCCATCCTGCCAGGGTGCAGAGAGCTCACCAGCTTCCAGTCACACAGGAACTGTGTGCGCTAAACCTTGCGGGAAGGAGCCTTGGCCCAGAATTGGCACATGCCTACGCTACAGCCTCACATCCCTGGCAGTCAAGGTCTGACAACACAGAAGTAGATCTCAGCATGCCTCACCTCTGTCCCCAGCCACCACGCTCCTGCATGACTTCACCTGTAACACTGGCAGATTTTGCCATACATCCTGCAGCATCTCACCAGCCACCCAAACTCTTTAAGCACAAAATATCATTAGCAACATGCTCCAGGACTGACTTCTGAGTATTGCAGAAACAATTGATGATCCCCCAGTGTTAGACCAGTGTTTGCAGTGGTTGGGCGAAGAAACTCTGAAAGACCAATTGAGGCAGCAAGATTGGAATTGGACATCAAGAGTCCAGGCTTTCAGTTCCTGCCCCAGTTTCCCTCCTCTCAAACAGGCACTGCTTTAAAACTGCCACAGATCAGTAGGCAGATAAACACTGGGGAAAATATGAGAGCTCTGGGTGCAAGAAAGCACCAGTCAGAGCTCCTGGGATATGTTTCTCATGACAGATGCAAAGTGCTTGTGGCCCTCTAGGTCTCATTTCCTGAGGTATGCTGAACGTGACCCAGAACCCAGCTTTCAGACTGCTCTGAAGCTGCTGCACCAGCCCCACTCAGCACCGCTTTGGAGTTTGCATATTGCTTTACACTCTT